GGACAAGTAAGTGACTGTCTCTTCCATTGTGTTCTCTGTCTTGTTTCCAATGACTGGTTTTTCTTACTGGTCATCTTCCATCTGTGCCCATCCTGGCAGTGATCCTGTATAGGCGATCATCTCCATTGATTCTCTGCAAAATGCTAGATTTATTTATTCTTTTCTAAAGCTTTGAATAGGCAAATTGGTTAGCTTCAACCTTTTCTTCACCTTATAGACAGTGTCACCAGGAAGAATTCAATAGTTCTGTCTGACTCAGGAGCTCAGCCAGGCAAATACATAACACACACATACACACACACACACGTGCATATACCTTAGATCATAAATTCAGTATTGACTTAGTTGGCAAAGTCACTTCTGTGTTCTTATCTATTCTGAAAGCATATGCTTTAGAATCAAACTAGTACTGAAGCTAATGAGGTGTCTTTCCTGAAAGTGATGATGGTATCAGCCGTCCTTATTGAAAGCTTTTCTTGGTTTCAGGCATTATGCTGGGACTTCAGGTGCATTTTCTCATTTAACCCCCAGCTCAGTGCAGTGACGTAGATGCTGCTGTCATCCCCATTTATCCTGTTATTGACACTTCCAACACTCTGCTTCCAGCTCCCACTCACCTGACTATCTTCCTGACCTGGGCTGACGCAGCTGAGGGGGCTTAAAAAAACTCTAACGCTATCTTGACCTGGTTTGTTTCACACTCAGGTCCTGTTTCACCCTTCCCTATCTGCAGCAATCACCTCAGTTCATTACTTGATTCACTCATTTGTGTTCATCCATTCCTCCATCATCCACCATTGCCAGGGTGCCTTCTCTATACCAGACACTGCTGTGCTTTCGAGTTCCAAAGTCCTGGCCCTCAGGCACTTCTGTTCTTCTGGGGAAAAAGATGTGGTCTCAGACAACTGCAGATTGGGGGAAGCACACTTAGGAGGCTGCTAGGGCACAGAGGATGGCCACCTGACCCAGCTTGAGGGCGGAACGTCAGGGCAGGCTTCCTGGAGGAGATGACTTATGGCCCAAGTCATAAAGAAGGGTAGGAGTTAGCTAGGCCAAGAGGAGAAGGGCCATTTCAGACATCAGGCTTTCTCGATATTCTTGGCCTCTCCACTCATTTTCCTGCCAACAACAAAATGGAGAAAACTGAGACCAGAGGTACGAAGCCACCCAACTCTGGCCTCATACTATACCTCGTCCTCTTCCTTCTCCCATTCTACTCTCCAGATCTTAGGTTTTGAGGAATCTCCTCTAATCTCCTTTATCTGCTTGTACATTTATTTATTTTTTCAGAAACATTCAGAACCTGGTGTACACAGCACTATGACTACGGGGTATCCTGGTCCCTGCCATCACGGGAGGCCTTCCTTACCCTCTCCTCACCAGCCACAGCCTCTGGAGACTTCTGGCTCTCTGTCCTTTTCCACAACTCAGCTTCAGCCCGTTCAGCCTGACTAGCCCCTTGAAACACTTGCAGATAATAAGCCTCATCTGGGTCAAATGCTTCCATGAGCTGCCTTCCTCTGGCTCTCTCATCCCTTCTGCTTTCCCTGTTGATTTGCCTCTTCATCTCCTTTGTCATCCTTGGAAGTTCCTTGAGGGCAGTGCCTGTGTCCTTACCTTTTCTCTACACTTCATGGTGGTCCACTAGTAAAGGTGAGTGAAATAAACCCTTCTCAATAATCACAAAATTATCATCATTTTTTGAGCACCTACAATGAGCCCGTTGCTTACTATTCTTGCATTACACGTAAATATCTCTAATCCTCATACCTTCAAAAAGTGGGTACTGTTACCCTTACCTCTAAGGTAAGAAATCTTGGGCTCAGGAAGGCAAAATGAACTTCTCAAAGCCTCACAGTTCATAAACAGCAGAGTCCGGCATCCAAGTTAGGTTATTCTGGTCCCACACCCCTGACCTTTTCACTGCACTATTGTTTCCCAAACTTGGCTGGAATCACCCTGGGGAGTGTTAGAAAATTCTGATGCCTGGGTCTCAGCCCCAGAAGTTCTGATTGCGTCTCCCAGGAGCCAAGGTTGAGAACCAGTGCGCCCCACGGCGCTGCTTTCCCGCGCGCACACTGGCTGCAGCTTGCTGGTGGCGGTGTGTGAATCTGCGTCCACGTGTGTGGTAGCCATGTGACCAGAATTCAAGTTCTCTGTAGCCAGGGATCTTTGGCCCGCCCTGCTGCCTTGCCACATGGCGGCCTCGCCACCACGTGCAGGTGCACTGTCAGAGGTTGTTGACTGTTTAATCAGCCTCTCGGTTCTTCTTTCTCATTCGGAGGATTCACTGAGAGGCAGTAGGAGTTTGATCACACCCAGCTGTTCTCACCCGCAGAGCCAGTTGACTTACCAGAAACGTCTTGTAAATGCACTGCGCATGCTCCCTGGTCTCAAGAGTGTTGCTCGTGACCTAGACCCATCGCAAGTGCAGCGGGGTCGGCCTCCCACGCTTCAGCAGCCCTGCTCCAGAGGGGCAGGCTCTTCTGGACTTGGCTCAGCCCAGTGTCGAGTGCTGTTCCGGCTTTTCACTCTCAGGCGGGGTGTGTGACCCGCCTGGTCACTGAGGCTCAGCTCGTGTGTATATTCTGTTCTGTCTGGAGCTCGGAGAGCTTTCTTCGTCCCTCACTTGACAGGTGAGGCAGTGGAGACACAGCTAGGTGAAATAATCTGGCAAATAAATGGATACAGAGCCCAGGTTTTCTGACCCCCATTGTTCCACAGTGGTTAGTGTCAGGCTTTCCATGCCAGACCTCAGTTGAAGCCACCAGCTTTCCTACCTTCTCCCCGTTTACATTAGGGATACTGGGACACTCAGGATGTCACTTTGCGTCTCTGGGAATATAGTTCTAGTGACTAGGAGTCCTGCTTACTGTTGGGGTGCAGCCTGGGGATCATCCTAATACCTCTGGGCCCTTCTCGGACCTGTAGAGCCGAAAGGAAATCTCCTGTGATGTTGCTCAGTTACTTCTGGAATCTTCCCAGCCCTGATCCCATCTCCTAGTATTTATTATCCAGCCATCATTCACTGATCAGTAATTCTTTGCTTGATCTGGACACCCTGATACAAGGATAAAAGACACAGTCTGTGTCCCAGAGGCATAGTCTGGTGGACAGAATATGCAAATAAAACAACATTCCTAAAAGGATGGTCCCCAGACCCCCTGCATTAGAAATACAAGATGATTATTAAAATGTAGATTCTTAGGCCCCACTCTAGAGCCACTGTTTCAGAATCTCTGGGAATTGGGCCCAAGAAACTGCATTTTAGCATGTCCCTAAGTGAATCTTAGATGCTCTGAGGTTTGACAGCTATAGCAGTGAACACGATGGTGAGAACGCAGTATCATATGTGTTAGGGAGAACCAGGCAGGTGGCAGCCTGCAGGAGCACCTGTTCTCACAAGGGGTGCTGGGCCAGGACCAGCACCTCTTCTCACAAGGGGTGCTGACTGGGCCAGGACCAGCTTCTTGAATGTGTCCTGAGGAATAACTAGGAGTTGGTCAAATAAGGTGTAGCCAGAGAATCATTTCTCTAGAGATGCGAATCATGCTTAGTGTATCCCTTCTATAACTCTGTATTATTAAAGTTTGCTTTAGCAGAACATGCCTGGATCAGGAAGCACTGATGCGAGTCTGGTTGGATTCTGAGCCCTCCTTCTACTTTATCTCTGCACATCACCCTCATAGCTCCCAGGATTAATTCCTGTCCTCTTTAAGCCTCACCTCACAGCCCCATTTTCAGGTCAAACATCTGTTTCTCATCAGTTAAGTGATTTAGGTTTGCTAGGTTTGCCCCCCGAGAGGTGGGTTCGTTCCTGGACCTGTGGGCTAGTCTCTCAGTGATGTCTGCCTGGTCATGAGGTCATGATGGGCTGGTTTTCTCTTTATTGAAAGAAGTTGGGTTATTAAGAGGGAGGGGCAGAAGGAGAAGTGGACACTCAAATGAAATATGGCAGGGAAAATGAGAGCATTTCAGTAAGGGGGAGGGCCTGCCGAGCATCTGGCCGGAAACCTCATGTTTTGGGATGAAGAAGCTGAAATTCAGAAAGATGTGAAATACCCAAGCGATGCCACTAGGCACAGCCTCCAACTCTGGGGACTAAAATTGGATTTCTGGCTAGTGCTTTTTCTGCTTCACTGCACTGGATTGGAACCTTTTCTAAATGTACCTGAAGGGCTGATTATTTAAAGAGAGTCTGTATGACACCCTGCAGCAATCCAATCATTTGGTAGCGTTGATTTTTTAAAATATGTGCATATGTGTTTTCTTAAAGGACGGCAGACCTGGGTGTTGGAGGTCTGTATCACGTGTTCCACGTTTAGAACGGAAATGAAACCAAGTCTGTGAAAGCGCTTTGATATGCATAATGCTCTACCTCCTTGGTTCTCAAAGGGTGGGCCCCAGACCAGCCACATCAGCACCGCCTGGCAGCTTGTTAGAAATGCAGATTCTCCAGCCTCATCCCAGGCCGATGAATCAGAAACTCTGGGGGTAGGGGACCAGTCTGTTTTCACAAGTCCTGCAGGTGATTCTAATGCCTGCTCAAGTTTGAGAACCACTGCTCTGCATCAAGAGGAAACCAGCCCCCGAGGCTTGTGGGAATAAAGGCTTTAAATATCTCTGAGTTTAGCTGTCTGAGATGGCACTGGGGAGACGGGAGCTGTGGGGTCAGGGTCACAAATCTCAGGTGGGTTGATTTTTTTCTTTGAAAAGCAAGGAAAAGCTGTGTGTGTGTGTGTGTGTGTGTGTGTGTGTGTGTGTGTGTGTGTACAGCAGTGCTGCATTCCACGGCTTCAGAAAGCAGTCTTTTCTTGTCTCTGCTGTTAAGGCGAAGCTCCCTGAACTTTTGTTTCTCTGTGTGCTTAAGCCAGAGGCCTGTGGTTATCAATTGGTTTACAACAAGGCAGTCAATATTATGATAGTTTGCTCCGTCGTGCTTTGTATTTATTTATTTTTTGAGTTACATATGAAATGAAAATAAAACGCTATTTCTCCAGCAGGCTTGAAGTTTCAGGACTTCCTGGTAGACAATGAAACCTTCTCTGGATTCCTGCATCACAACCTTTCTCTGCCAAGGCCAACTGTGGACAAGATACTGGGGGCTGGTGTCAGTCTCCGCAAGGTAAGCTGCGACCGTCACTTTCCCTGGTGGGGCTGATGGCAGTGACATTGTTGGAGAGCGCCTGGAGGGAAGTGAATAAAATCCTGTCTGTAATGGCGCTGAAGGAGGTTGTTGGCTCCAATGCAGCTTCACCTGTCTTTACCTCCCTGCTCAGGCTGGCGTTGCCAAACCATCCAGAGAGTGGAATGTACAACCTGGCGTCACGGACCTGCAGGTTGAAATAAAACTGATTTCCTGCCCATCAGTTGGCATTTGTTGATAATGACTCCCTAAAGGGGAGATGAATTTAAGATGAATGAAACATTTTCTTTAAAATTTCACAGTTCTGAAACAATAACCAGGGTTGAGGATTATTACCTAGAGTATCTCTGTCTATAAAATCCAAGACAGGGGCTTCCCTGGTGGCGCAGTGGTTGGGAGTCTGCCTGCCGATGCAGGGGACACGGGTTCGTGCCCCAGTCTGGGAAGATCCCACATGCCGCGGAGCGGCTGGGCCCGTGAGCCATGGCTGCTGAGCCTGCACGTCCGGCGCCTGTGCCCCGCAAGGGGAGGAAAAAAAAAAAGAGAAACCCCCAAAAAAAAAAAAAAAAAAAAAAAAAAAAAGGGGATTTTCAAAATGTAATGCTTCCTTTAAAGCTAGACGAGAAAGATATATAAGGAGAAAATGCTTAATTTTTTTCCTTAAAATTATAAAACCAGGAAGTAATGTTAGTGTTTATGTAGAATTTTAACCTTAGATTTTCAGAAACTTCCACTGGCATCATTAGATGAGCACACTGCTCTTGTGCGGTGGACAGCAGGCCCAGATTGCACAGTTACTGATTTTCAGAGAAGTGTCTCAAATTTATTCTCTGGCAGAAAGGGGAACTGCTTCCTTACTGTGTCTCATGTCTACATACCAGCTTGTCTTTGCAGTAAGCAGAAGTAGTGGAAATGTTTATGACTGAAAATAAGATCTTTGCTTCACATGATCTAGAATTTTAAAAATTCGAAAAATGTGCTTGCTGCTTTCCCTTATAAAACTGGGAAAATATGCCTTGAGTTTACCAACTGTGTGGTTGGGAGATGGGCCAAAGGCAGCAGGCTTATGAAAATCGTTAGCATGATTTCCATTGCCCTCTACCAATTTCTTATCTGTCACATCCGATCAGTTTAAAGTAAGGGACATCCTAAGTATGGAGGTGGTCCTTGCATGGTAATTAGTCTCTGTGTAGTCAGTGTTCTTAAACCAAATACTAAAGGTAGGCTGGCAGCAAGGGCTAGTTAGAGAAAGGAGGAAAAGTGAAGTGTACTTGAGTATCTGGCAGTAGGTGGAAACTTACTTAATGGAAGCCATGGCCAAGCAAGTGCTCTGCAGGGTTAGAAAGCTGCATGGGTCTTGAAAGGCTTTTGGTCCATCACTCCCACTAGGTTGTACTACAAGCAGGTCAGGTTGCACTAATTGAAACAGAGGAAATAGTAACGGAGTAATAAAGAGTCTGAATCATCCATTCATTCATTCAACAAATATTTACTGTCCATATGTTCCAGCACTGTGGACACAAAGAGAGCAAGAAAAACAAAGATGCTCATCTTACTGAACTTATTGTCTAATGGACAGTAAGGACCATATATGAAGAAGTGCAGTTTATTTAGGTCCAGTAAAACTAATTAAATAAGATATGGCCAAGGAAAGGTTCTTTGCTGAAATGAATAGATAAGAATGACTTAGGGAAAATTGGTTCAAGATGGCGGAGTAGACGGACATGCTCTCACTCCCTCTTTCGAGAATACCGGAATCACAACTAACTGCTGAACAGTCATCGACAGGAAAACACTGGAACTCATCAGAAAAGATACCCCGCATGCAAAGACAAAGGAGAAGCCGCAATGAGATGGTAGGAGGGGCGCTATCACGATAAAATCAAACCCCATAACTGCTGGGTGGGTGACTCACAGACTGGAGAACACTTATACCACAGAAGTCCACCCACTGGAGTGAAGGTTCTGAGCCACACGTCAGACTTCCCAACCTGGGGGCCTGGCAACGGGAGGAGGAATTCCTAGAGAATCAGACTTGGAAGGCTAGCGGGATTTGATTGTAGGACTTCGGCAGGACTGGGGGAAACAGAGACTCCACTCTTGGAGGGCACACACAAGGTAGTGTGTGCATTGGGACCCAGGGGAAGGAGCAGTGACGTCATAGGAGACTAAACCAGACCTACCTGCTTGTGTTGGAGGGTCCCTGCATAGGCGGGAGGCAGCTGTGGCGCACCAAGGGACAAGGACACTGGCAGCAGAAGTTCTGGGAAGTACTCCTTGGCGTGAGCCCGCCCAGAGTCTGCCATTAGCCCCACCAAAGAGCCCAGGTAGGCTCCAGTATTGGGTTGCCTCAGGCCAAACAACCAACAGGGAGGGAACCCAGCCCCGCCCATCAGCAGACAAGTGGACTAAAGTTTTACTGAGCTCTGCCCACCAGGGCAACAGCCAGCTCTACCCTCCACCAGTCCCTCCCATCAGGAAACTTCCACAAGCCTCTTAGATAGACTCAACCACCAGAGGGCAGACAGCAGAAGCAAGAAGAACTACAGTCCTGCAGCCTGTGGAACAAAAACCACATTCACAGAAAGATAGACAAGATGAAAAGGCAGAGGGCTATGTACCAGATGAAGGAACAAGATAAAACCCCAGAAAAACAACTAAATGAAATGGAGATAGGCAACCTTACAGAAAAAGAATTCAGAATAATGATAGTGAAGATGATCCAGGACCTTGGAAAAAGAATGGAGGCAAAGATTGAGAAGATGCAAGAAATGTTTAACAAAAACCTAAAAGAATTAAAGAACAAACAAACAGAGATGAACAATACAATAACTGAAATGAAAACTACACTACAAGGAATCAATAGCAGAATAACTGAAGCAGAAGAACGGATAAGTGACCTGGAAGACAGAATGGTGGAATTCACTGCTGTGGAACAGAATAAAGAAAAAAGAATGAAAAGAAATGAAGACAGCCTAAGAGACCTCTGGGACAACATTAAATGCAACAACATTCACATTATAGGGGTCCCAGAAGGAGAAGAGAGAGAGAAAGGACCCCGGAAAATATTTTAAGAGATGATAGTTGAAAACTTCCCTAACATGGGAAAGGAAATAGCCACTCAAGTACGGGAAGTGCAGAGAGTCCCATACAGGATAAACCCAAGGAGAAACACACAGAGACACATAGTAATAAAATTGGCAAAAATTAAAGACAAAGAAAAATTATTGAAAGCAGCAAGGGAAAAACAACAAATAACATACAAGGGAACTCCCATAAGGTTAACAGCTGATTTCTCAGCAGAAACTCTACAAGCCAGAAGGGAGTGGCATGATATATTTAAACTGATGAAAGGGAAGAACCTACAATCAAGATTACTCTACCCAGCAAGGATCTCAATCAGATTCGATGGAGAAATCAAAAGCTTTATAGACAAGCAAAAGCTAAGAGAATTCAGCACCACCAAACCAGCTCTACAGCAAATGCTAAAGGAACTTCTCTAAGTGGGAAACACAAAAGAAGAAAAGGACCTACAAAAACAAAGCCAAAACAATTAAGAAAATGGTAATAGGATCATACATATCGATAATTCCCTTAAATGTGAATGGATTAAATGCTCCAACCAAAAGACACAGGCTTGCTGAATGGATACAAACACAAGACCCATATATATGCTGTCTACAAGAGACCCACTTTAGACCTAGGGACACATACAGACTGAAAGTGAGGGGATGGAAAAAGATATTCGATGCAAATGGAAATCAGAAGAAAGCTGGAGTAGCAATACTGATATCAGGTAAAATAGACTTTAAAATAAAGGATGTTACAAGAGATAAGGAAGGACACTAAAAAATGATCAAGGGATCAATCCAAGAAGAAGATAGAACAATTATAAATATATATGCATCCGACATAGGAGCACCTTAATACATAAGGCAACTGCTAACAGCCATAAAAGAGGAAATTGACAGTAACACAATACTAGTGTTATTGTTATGTGATAATAATAACACCTCACACCAATGGACAGATCATCCAGACAGAAAATTAATAAGGAAACACGAGCTATAAATGACACAATAGACCAGATAGATTTAACTGATATTTATAGGGCATTCCATCCAAAAACAGCAGATTACACTTTCTTCTCAAGTGCGCACGGAACATTCTCCAGGATAGATCACATCTTCGGTCACAAATCAAGCCTCAGTAAATTTAAGAAAATTGAAATCATATCAAGAATCTTTTCTGACCACAATGCTGTGAGATTAGAAATGAATTACAGGGAAAAAAAACGTAAAAGACACAAACACATGGAGGCTAAACAATACGTTACTAAATAACAAAGAGAGCACTAAAAAAATCAAAGAGGAAATCAAAAAATACCTAGAGACAAATGACAATGAAAACACGACGATCCAAAACCTGTGGGATGCAGCAAAAGCAGTTCTAAGAGGGAAATTTATAGCTATACAAACCTACCTCAAGAAACAAGAAAAATTTCAAAACAATCTAACCTTACACCTAAAGGAACTAGAGAAAGAAGAACAAACAAAACCCAAAGTTAGTAGAAGGAATGAAATCATAAAGATCAGAGCAGAAATAAATGAAATAGAAACAAAGAAAACAATAGCAAAGATCAATAAAACTAAAAGCTGGTTCTTTGAGAAG